CAAAAATTACAGAAAAACCCTGGGACGAAATTTTTCCCGTTTTGAAAGAAAGTCTTTCCATCAAGTTCCATAATTGCCCGATAAATACAGTGATATCTACAGAAGCACGTACCTCAGAAAACATAAGCACTAAGATGATCATGTAATCTAATGTGCAACTGAAGTGGACGTGTGTACCCAACCGCACTTTCAAGTCATTATCCTGTTCTCATTCGGAATTATATTGATCTTCAGATGGTTGTAATAATACATAGACTTCACCTTCATTTTAAATTCCAATATAGAAGCAACATTCCACGCAAAGATCACTATTTATTGAAGGTAGTCAAGCGAGTAATGAGGAAGTGGGATAGTATTGCCAGAGTTCGTAGCCACGGAACATAAACAGGCGGAGGACACCAAAAGCGGACATAGACTCTTTATGAATTCTGGAGTGAATGCCTGGTTTGCACATTCAAACTTCCATCATGTTCTAACAATACCAATTGGTTAATAAAAATTTTATTATCAAGACTTCGAATTCGTCGATCGATCGACTCATAGCTCTCATTTGAACAAAGCTGAACATTTTGAGTTTGTTAACAACGCGAGTTCATTCCCACAATGGCGTTTTCAGTTCTATCCACGAATCCGGTAAATGGTCAGATGTCGGAACAGTGAGAATCTGAATTCATTTTGTAGTTTTGTCTTACAATGCGCTTAAGTTCTGTTTAAAAAACAGAACTTCCATTATGAACACCAGAAGGCTTTTTAAATTGTTTAGACATAATTTGTGCTGAAAACCGTTTGTACCAATCGAATTAAGCCATCCGGAATAAAATAAAACTTCCCAATCGAATGTTTAATACACCATCTCGTACTAGTAGTAGTAGTAGTAGTAGTAGTAGTAGTAATTGACCGTAACACAGGCAGACTCATCCTCCATGTAACCATCTATAAATGTTTACAAAATCGCGTTTTGGTGAAGCGGCATGAACAAATAAGATTTCTTGATTTCTGTTTTTTTTCCATTTTTGTCGTATTCCAATCCGTGTCCCTCAAACAAACATGTTCATTTATCCGTGAAATCCAAAATGTTTTAGTCTATTGATTCAGTAACGAAATTCTGTCCCCGAATCATGCACTGGTCACTTATTTTTATGTTATTGCGGCTGGGTGATGTTCTTCGGATAATTTCAACATCAAGCAATTTGTTTACCTTTATTAATCTCATTTCGTTCCCGTCTTTGAGCTTAACTCTGATAATACAAAAATATTTGTCAGCCTTTACCCAGAAATGCGTAGATTGTATGTGGAGTCGCGAAATTGAGTACACCTTTGGAGCACAGTTGGACAATATGTGGCAGGCAGAAGTGAACCATTGTACACATGCGGCGTGATAAATTCACCATCTTTACGGTTCTGGTCGGGGAACATGCTCAGTCAGCAGGAAAAATTTATCCATGGACGCTAAATAGACCCATGAGGGGAGATTACACAACACTTATAGTTCCTTCAAGTAAATAAACTATAAATTTATAAATGTATTTTTTAAAATATAACCGGTAATTAGTCTTCCCACTATGCTGAAGTCACATTCACGACGCCATATAACATATGGTGTTTTCATGATTAGCATTAAATATCATGCATGATGAGAAACAAAGAAAATAAGTCATGATCTAGAGCATTTTGTTTTCATGTCTTAAACAGATTCGCTTCTGCTCATGAATGACATTTTGCAAAAGGTTAACTTACATAAGATTATCATTTGGATTATTTTTTGAAGCGGGCACTTAATCAAGGAGTCATGTTCAGTTATAAAAAGGGCGGAAGGTAGCGTGGCAACTTCACATGTAAATTTCATTTTCCCAGGGTACCAAATGTGCCTCCAATGAGAGAGGGTCGAGAAATGGTTATTGATCTAAATGTATCTAATGTATACACTACACTCACTTCCAGTGGCAAGTTTTACTCCCTGCAATCAAACATTATTTTTCCGTTTCAGCACGATCGTCACACAGTCTGATTCAAGAAACTTCATTTAAAAAATCTCCCTGCACCATTGGTCTGCAAAATAGAGGAATTTAAATACACGTGGTTCGTGGTAGTATCGCATACTTTTTACGTCTTTGGTGAATTCATGTATTTCTGATGAAACCACAGGTAAAAATATGGAGCATTGTAAGCCGTGACTGATTAGAAACTGAAACTCAGGACTGCAATTGCAGTGCGTTTGATAAGTTCATGATACGAGAAAAAAATAGAAGCACGCGACCAACAAATCAGGTTACTTTTACAAGCCTGATTTCTTCAATTTGAGCAGCGAAGTGATGTAACAGAGCGACTGGAACAATTTGTGCACGGGATTAGCATAGAACTTTGCTAAAATCATTACGTAACAAAGATTGTCCTTCATAACTAAAAGTCACCATATACACCGTTGAATGAATAATTTAAGATTAAGCATGAACAAATATTTAAATGTTGATTTTGAATGTGCATGCAACATTTCGAGAGTTTACACAACCAATGAGTTCACAATGATATAGTTCGGGAATTCTGTATCTTATGAAGATTGCCTTGATCGAGTTTTCTAATAACAGATTAGATTAGTATTGAGAGTATAAGCAGTTATTCTGAATACGAGATTGCGAAAGGAGGCCTTGCAAAGTGCATTTGACACTTGATTTTGACCTGTTGAGGCTCATCAGCATTTTCTTCTACCGCTTTTGTACCGAGTTGGAGTGGCAGAGTAAAACCAGCAACAAACTCTTTGCACACACCTCTTGTAATATGACTTTGCATGGCATTAAAACGAAGACATATTTGTACATAATTAATAATTGCCAACAACATTCGAAATCTAGCAGCCAATTGAACGGTGAATTAAAAGATTTTAAAACACACACCGAATTCAGTGATCTTCAAAGCATAAGGAAATATGTAATGGTTTCCTTGATTATCTCATAATCTGTTTTCACTATCAAGGTGACCGCTCCAATCTTTCCACAAATAATGATAAGCTTGTAGTATTGCCAGATATATTGCAGCATTGGGCAGAAAAGCAATAAGGTTTTGAAACAAGGAACTTTTATAACTGATATTACGGTTATAGATCACCAGGTGGTGTCGGAAATACTCATGCCCACGGTGAATCGGTTTGCGCGACGCCTTGGATGCAAGCGAGCCCTCCTCCATTGCTGGAGAGAGTGCGATCAGAATAAACGTGAATTTCAGAGCCTTTTTGTACTGTTTGGAGACTCGCCATTGTTCTCTGCAACATATCGACTGGGCAGTAAACAATATACCAAATTAATTTTGAGAAATTTCAAATTGACATCAGAATATCTAAAAATGAAGAAGCCCGTGAACTGACGAAGCATCGAGCAAATAGATGTAGCTTTTTATTGTTATTTAAAATTTCACAATGAATATTGAATATGAACTTCACCTCATTTCCTCAGTGAAACCATAAGAAGTTGAAGTTTAAAACGGTAGAGTTCAATAAATTTCAGATTTCAACAATTATTGGTTGATCATAAGCGATATGATGAAACAATATAATTTGAGTCAATCCCATTTACGGGAATTTGTTGATTGCCTAAATATTTGCTAAAGTTCTGTTTTTTAGAAGTAGGTTATATTTAGAAGCGCTTTCCTAACATTTTTAAAATTTCTTCTGTACCTAATTATCTTAATTACAAATTGATGGACACGATCATCCCTCTCTACGTTTCAAGAGGATATTTCAGTCCAAAGGAAATAGCAAGCCATGAAATTACAGACTCTTCTCTTAAGCTCTGGCGTGATAGATTCACTTTTGATTCATTAAAATAAAACCGCCAAGATCTGAAACCTGATAGAATATATTCATTCGAATCGATTCAATCAAGCGATACAAGTAGACCAATGGATAAATTGTGCCTTTAAATTTGTCTTCATGTTCGATCATTGAATACAATGACGCATTAAAACAACTGGCAAAAACGTGGTAGATTGCGATAAGTTCTCCAAGTTGTTTTGTCATTTTTTCTACTGTCGTGGACCAGGGATATTTAGGTAGAAAATACACGCACAAATGGTTTTCAATACTTGGAGGTTTTACTGGAATTTGCTGAGCTGGATTATTTACTCGTTCGAAAGATAGGGGACATAATCTTCTTATGCATCCTTATATGGACTCCTAAATTGATGCTTATCTAGTATTTTTGTCGATATCAGATGTCTATTTTTGAATTCTATAATCACTAACCAACTTTCGAGACGGACGTATTCCCTATCGTACGGTGTTTGAAATTTCCCGGGAACTCACGTTCCACCTATACACTTTTATGTATTTGAATGATTTCCACATATTGAGTAACAATTCTGAAACCGTTGATACTGTCATCGTGCAATCGGTTCCATGGAACTTTTGACTATATGCTCTTCAGTCAGATTTCTGTCCGCTGCGTGCATTTACTTCATGTCACAGTTTTCTCCAGTCTCTGGTTACACAACATCCACCCACTCATCTTTCAAAACAAATTCACACACACACATGTTAATGTATTTTGACTCAAGCCAACTACTCCGGCACGTGCACAAACACGACGCTCCTAGGTACGCGAACAAACAGTACACAGCCAGCCCAACTACGCGCATTCCTGCTTTGTTTGCCGGCTCTCGAGTCTCATACGTGCGTGTGCGCTTGCGTGCGTGAGGGAGTTTTGTTGCAGAGGTTGCCAGTGTTTTTTTCTGTGCTGAAGAGCTGACATGCACCATTTCGGGTGTGCACGACCCCGTTACAGCTCGGGTGAAGCCAAGCTTCTAATAACGAAGACTAGCACGCAATACACTGACAAACTCATCACACGGTGGTATAAATAGCGTTGCATCCGTTTTTCTGTGCTCAAGTTGAAAATCTGGTTGATTTTGTTGCACACCTTTCCCGTACATCATGGGTGAACGCAAAGCTGTGATCAAGAATGCCGATATGGCCAATGAGGTGCAAGAGGAAGCAGTCCACATTGCAGCCTATGCGTTGGACAAGTATCAAGTTGAGAAAGATATTGCTGCACACTTAAAGAAGGAATTCGACCGTAAATACAACCCGACGTGGCACTGCGTGGTTGGCAAGAACTTTGGAAGGTAAGCTTGAACAATGGTAACTGTCATTACGTTACATAATTCTCGTTCAACATACCGCTAACTATGATCAATCAAGTATCGCTGTTTCAACAACTGTCCATTATTCTTTTCCATTTCAGTTACGTCACCCATGAAACGGGAAATTTCATCTATTTCTATCTGCAAGATCGTGCTTTCCTTCTGTTCAAATCTGGTTAAATCCCAGGGCTTGAGTTTGTTGTGTAGTGACAATGTCGATTGTATCCTCTTTCTCTCCTTGCATTCAATCCACCGCAACTTCGGTCTCGTGGGCACCATCAACATCTGCCAATTTCCAATTATGTTGTGACGCACACCCTGACAAAAAGACCACATATCATGGTACATATTTCATTTTCAACTTCATACGTGATTTTCATAATAAAAAATTAGTTTCTTCAAGGTATATTGTGATTCTGGTTGTATTGTTTGGTCTGAAAATCCCGGGTACCCAATGATGGTTGTTTCTCAGGTTTTTATTGAAATAACATTTTGATTTTTGACTACTACTCATACTCTCAATTGGTAGGATTATAAATAAGCTTCACAAAGAAGTTTGATTCAGTTCATTGTTTGAAGTTTGTCCGATGCGCGATAATTCAGCGTAATTCTCACTCAGTTGAAGGAAATTAAATTCCGTTTTTAACACGTACTGATTGTTAAGAAGTTCACCACTGACTTAGTTCGATTGAATTTACTGTGAAAAAACCTCTTAGGTTGCTTTCATCTACGGATGTATTCAAGTTTCTGAAAAGTCGAGCGGCAAGTAGGCGATATTTTTGATCCGTCCACGAAATTCACTGGCTGAAACAAGTTGCCTCAATTGTACATTATGCAGTCCGACAAGTTAGGAGTGATATATTTTGAGACAGGCAGAATGTAGAAACGTTTAGAGAACAGGTTCTGTGTGTTGTTGAGACATATTAGAATCATAATAATTATTGTGATCCGCGTTCCGAAAACTCTTCTCGGTTTACTGGTACCTAGATTATACTAAACTCACTTACTAATAATTGAAAATCCCTAGCAACGTGCCTTTGTGCAAACGGTCTTAAAAATTTAAAAAGGTGCGGATGTTTTACAGCAAACCTGAGGAGATTTAGAGGTACCTACCCAACTAAAGAGTATATGTTTTAAATTTTTTCACTTAGTTCTGATACCCAGCTGATTAGGCCACTTGAGAATCTTCACTTTTAGTTTTTGTACCATTTACTACTGTTAGCTATATAGTTACATTTGATATTTGAAAGATAGTGACTTTTTAAATGTAGCACAACTTCGGTTGTCAGAATGTTGCAACGTTTTTAAATATCTGATTATATAAGAAAAATTAACTAAACGGAGGCGAGACTAAATGGTTGGAGGTATATGCTATTACCAGACCTGTTTTCTGTCAGTGAGACTTAACGATGTGATTTGCGCTTGACATCTTATAGATATTTAACCTGGATGCGAACCTATTCTGGTCATTACGCGTCTAGCAGCAGCGAAATATCACCTAACCTCAAGCGATAATCTATGTTCCAGCGGTCAGTTCACAAATAGGTGTCCGAGGCTTGAGGCATTTTAAACAGCGTCAAAATTGGTGGAGGTTTGATTGGAATCGTCATGGTGTTGATCTTATTAATAAGGGTATCTTATTCCAGTGTTGCACTTTGTTGACCATCATTTAAAGCCACAGTCACAATAAAATGGATGCAGTAGGTTTGTCCACAACGTTTTCCGTTCAGCTTTTACCTTAAACATTGTTTTGGTATTCCTATGTCAGCTTATATGAACATTTTGAAATAATATCTCAAGTCTCTTTTGATAGAAAACTTGAGCAACTAAACGCAGGGTGTATTTATTACTCCCATAAAATACCAAGATATAATTGACCATTTGTTAGGCTTTGATTCGATGGGCGTTCATTCAACAAGTTTGTGAAATCGGAAGGAACAGGTACGCGCATGACTATCAATGGCTAGTTTGAATACGGTTGTCATTTGTAGTCAGCAAACACTTTTCCCTGTTACGAAAGCAGAAAAAATATTGATTGACGGTTCAAGCTTGAGAACATAAAGCTGTAATTATTTTGCCCAATAAATTAATCAGAGTTAAATTGCGAACTGGGAAGTAAAACCGGGAACGAACTGACCTCTTCAGAAATGAACGTTTAAAGATCCGAAAATGAATTAGGCAAACCGCGTTTGATACTTATTAAAAACTATTTTAGAACCACAAAATCAATATGGTCCAGAACATTCTTATGAATTTAAACATTTCGTATAAAACCTTTATTTTCAGATTGTTTTCGGACATTTTTTTATATTTTTCATCGTGAAAACGATAAGTTTTAAATTGGTCCTGTAGGCCTAAATTTTTGAACAACGAGGAATCCCAACCAAAACCATATGTATCGTTTTATACAGGTTTATTCGCAAAGATCACGTTATTTGATTTACCTGGTCAATGTAAGGATAATTCGTAACTATGGTGAAATAATCCAGGTGACAACAATTAAGCTGCTCTACAAGTGGAAATGCGCACGATACTAATACATTGCCACCAGTAACGGAGGCACGTATCATAAATCATACCTCTTTTTATTGCTCATAGCATGAAATAAACATAATGTGAAGCCAAGTGGAAAAACGGTATTATTAGTCTAGATACATTTTTACAGTTTGGAAATGGGTTTGCTTTAAAATTGCCGAAGTGGAATATTTGATCCATTTTTAAACTGAAAGTAAAATGATTTACAAAATTCGCGCATACAGACATAAGCGGAATGCAATCGCAAAAAGTGGGTTTCCGATATAGGAGAAATCGTTTTGATCTTTAGCTGAAGATTTGGCCTATCAATCATTTATTATTCGTTAACGAATGTACTTAATTAATAAACCTGTATCTTTTCAAACTATTATTTCCTTAGTGAATATATCTTCGATTTCTATTGCATGTATGCATAAACAGTACCATTTTGATTGCAGTACTTTTGTACACAAATGTTTTACTAGGGATTGGGCAATCGCTTGCAAGTGTTCTGTTGATATTTGTGCCTGCATTTCAAATAAACTACAAAGACATATTAGTCATTTATTTGGAATATGAATGTAGAGCAAAGCCTGCATGCTATTTTGCGTTTATTGCTTTTTCATTGAGGTTTTATATGACCACACAATGAAGGGGGGAATTTTATCCAATTACCAGTATCAACGATAGCCCGAACAGCCTTTGAATACAAAAAGTATCCATTTCACTAGGTTTATAGTTTATCAAAATTACGCTTTCTCAATTACAAATAAAAAATATTATAATAAATTCATACATTTGAAATAATATTACAGTTTCATGTACAAGCAATCAACTAAAGAATAGCCACAGCATTCCCGTATTTTGGGTTCGCACAATTGGTTTCTCGCTGAGGTATCAAAACAGTTTATATGAAGATCGGGTGGGAAAGATCCACAAATCAATCAACCTAAAAGGAGTGCAATTGTGGCGGAGGTTGGACCTAGAATATTCAGGTCAATGCTGAAATCGATAGGATTTAGATTAGGACTGCTATAGTTATACAGTTGTTATGTTAGTGCGTGATTTCACAGTTTCTATGAACAGTATGATTTTCCGCTAATTAACTAAGAGTTGCATGAAAGTAAGGTAGGATTTGATTCAATTATATAATGTTTTTCGGCGAGTGTAGAGCAAAAAGTCTGAAAAGCTAGGAGGAAATGTAAGGCAGTTTCGGCCTTATTTGGCCTCATCAGCGGTGCGAATCTATCAACTCGTCTGGCGATCGAAGCCGGGACTTCACAAACAGAGCGAAAGCATAATACCCACTTGATCACCGGCGATTCAGAGTTTTTTATTTGCACAATTTAACTGACTAAATCACTATGACAAACAAAAGCCGATGCGAAACTGCAATCCTCCTAAAGGGGACATTTGTGACATTGTTTAAAAACCTCCTGAGGAAAACGAGTAAATATCTTTGGAAAACAATCGCGGCCAAAATCCTGAATGCCATTATTACTTGGTCACCGTCTTTGGGTTAGATGTTTCTAGTTCCTGATCGTTCGTAAATAGTAAAAAGAAAGGATATCAATTTAGTTTATTGGTTTCATTCCTTCTCATTGCGTTTTGGAGTTACGTTTTTGGGTATAACAGGTAAATGTGTAACCATCGATTCCTTATTGATTGGGTCTCACTTTGGTTCTGACATTGTTCATATTATCTTTATCCATAACCCCTTTCCTGCAACCTGCTTTCAGTTGTGATCTCAACTGGACTAGAACATTTGGTAGTAGTTCTTCTTTCACTTCCCCGGGACACGTGGTAATTTGATAAATTCTCATGTTATTGCCACAACGTTTACGAATTCTTGCGTGTGACTGAGTTCGCAAGTTACCTTATCCATGTAATTTAATCATCAATTGTCATCAGTTGATGTCTAAGGATAATACGATTGTCACCTGTGACTGATGGCACTCTTGTGTTATTCATAAATAGTCAACACGTTTGGTAGAGAGATAACATCCGTTACATATGCACACCTGCCATATCTACTACTAGTGCAATGGTCTAACAAGGAACTGTAACCGACCACAGTTGATTTTACGTTCTTATCTGTGATCTGAGATGCGTTCAGTCTCCAGATATTGAAGGCATGCACATGTGTAAAACAATTTTTGCCATCGTGATACATTGTATTTTTGAGTCAATTCTCATGCGAGGTCACCGTTTTTAGGAGAAACAGATGAATCGACTGAGAATGATAAAAGAAGTTTCGTGTGGGGATTCCGGGAATACATATCAATGAATGAGGGATTTGTTCGATTGTACAGTACAGAACACTGTGTTTTTGTCTAGTTTTCTGTTGAGTTAAACGAGACATACATGATGGGGTAAAGTAAACAGCCACCAGCTAACATATCACTTTATCACTTAACCGATGGAAGCACTCAATGGAAAGTCCATTGCTTGAGGTGAGGGCTAAACACTTAGGCCATTCCAAAGAGTATGCCTTCGAGAACGTTTAATCAAGCGTACTTACTGGTTGTATTATCTCTTCCAACGCAGGTTTCAAGCGACAAACTGATTCCAGTAGGGGTACTGGAAGAAGAACGTTACCCAAGAGAGGAAAAATTAAAATGTGACTTCATCGGATGTCGTTGTAAACAGTGTAGATATACCCAGTG